CTAGCCTATATTATTTTCCCCAAGAGCTAGTGTTCAGCCCAAGGCAAGACCAGGTTCTCATCTGCATAACTGTATAATTATCTTTTGCCTTCCAAAGGGACCATGTATTCTATTAAATATAATCAAGTCACTGGACCTACTTAATGGTGGCAGGTGTCACATCAGAGCACGGGGACTCTGTGCACACCATCCCACACTCAAGAGGCATGATGGAGCACAAGTGGACTTCAAGCATCTCTAGAAGGGCCAGTATCCTTAGAAACACCAGTACAGACAAGGGCAGTGGAATAAGCTAAACAGCATGAGCCCTCAGGATAAAGCAAGGTTCTTCAATCAGTCAACAATCAGTTCTTCTCCCAAGCTCTCCAGCCCAGCCTTTTAGCTCCTCTGGCTCTTGGTCATTACCTACATGCTACACTATCTATACCCTTAATGATGTATCTGCCACTGTCCTTGCCAAGCAGTGAGGTGGGGCACACTGGTGTCTCTACCACACAACTCCATACCTAGGGTTGGCAAAACCAGCATTAAACTGCAAGGGTGCAAAGATGACACTGCCTCTACTTCCAGACATAGTTCAGGTATGTCACCATGTTCTACATTCTCCATCACCTCTGCAGGTAGCAGGGACATGTTCTGAAAAGTGACCATCTCAGCCCAAGCATCCCATCAGTCAGACAATTGCAGATAGAGAGAAAGGAGATTTGTCACAAAAATCAAGACCACGCCATTAGGTTGTGTCAATTGCTCTATGTTGCCTCTAGACAGGCCATTATCTTTCCAAAATGTAAAAGATTTTCAGGGAAAACCTGTAAGCCTCCTCCAAAGAAAAAAAAAAAAAAAAAAAAACCAAACCAAAACCAACCACACACCCAATCAACAACCAAGTTTAAGAAAACATTTGCATTTGCCCTCAGTAGGCAGGTACGATGCCCTGACTGAGAGACACTACGTAGGTGATCTTGGCAAGTGGACCCACCCACTAGCAAAGCTGCTGCACATTGAAGGTTTGCATATGAGGGCAGCAGGGCAGAGCAGCCATTCTCACTGTAATGCTACGTGGAAGGAAAAGTCCTGCTTTTAAAATAAACCCGTATAATCATTTAGTAGCTCTGTGTTTTTTAGAGGACTATGAGCAGACTAGCTCACCTGCACTGAGTAAGCCACTGTGGGTTCTCACACTGCTCAGACGTGCATGCTGTTTTGTTTTGTTTCTGGCACCAACAGAAGCCAAAATATGCTTCCCCACCCTGGGAACTACTGAACTGGAAAGTGAAAGTCGGGAGCTGCCTCAAGAAAAATAGCACATACAAGTCTTTAGATAAAAACCACAAACCAACCTACCTACCTGCAGCAGGAGCCAGCACACTATTTTCTTTTAGAAGTAAGCTTGAAGAAAGTGGTAGTGCAAGAATACTGCCCTGTGAACAAAGATTTCATCTACAATAGCCTTGATTATTGCCTAACTCTTT